ATACGATTGCTGTTCTTGAAGAGGGCATGTAAACCCAGACTTCAAAACCCCCCAAAATTTGACCAAAATGCTCAAACAATGGCCACCTAATGCCAACACATGCTATCATATTCAGAAAAGATGGTTTTGTTTGGGTTTGTTTAGGTTGCAGAAGGGATTCGAAGAGAGACGAAATTGGGATTTGGATTTGGGTAAAAAAGAAAACAAAGAGGAAGAGGAAGAACTAGGTTTTGAGGGCAAAGCTGTGGGTTTTTCTTGATCTTCTTCTTCATGAGAAGATTCGTAGTTAGTTCAATTTAACATCAAAACTTACATATTCCCAACAATTCATTTTCAGGAGAAGCTGTTCTTGAAGAGGGCATGTAAACCCAGACTTCAAAACCCCCCAAAATTGGACCAAAATGCTCAAACAATGGCCACCTAATGCCAACACATGCTGTCATATTCAGAAAAGATGGTTTTGTTTGGGTTTGTTTATGTTGCAGAAGGGATTCGAAGAGAGATGAAATTGGGGTTTGGATTTGGGTAGAGAAGAAAACAGAGAGGAAGAGGAAGAACTGGGTTTTGAGGGCAAAGCTGTGGGTTCTGTATGTTGTTATTTTTTTCATGATGTGAGGGTGATGGAGTGCAGAAGGAAGGAGAAAAAAAGAGGAGAAAAAGAGAGAGAGAGAGAGAGAGAACTAAATTTCAGAGAAAAGTGATGTGTGCAATAAGTGAACAATAAATATATTTTTATAAGTGATAGTTGCAAAAAAATTGGGGAGAGGTGGTATTTCCAAAAAAAATTATAAAAAAATGTGGCATTTAGAGCTATTTCCCTATTTAATTTCATTATTTTTTAAAATATAACTACTAATTAAAGTAGTTAAAAATGGCTAACATATTGTACTGCCATCACAGGTCGACGTGTTTTCTCAAAGACAACAGAAGCAATTCACATTAAGAAATGGGTTGATTCTATGCTTCCAAAAGAACACATTAGTATTGTTTATCCCATGCTTTCAAAAGTCGTTGATCCCCGGTTAGATGAAACTTTCAACATTAACTCTGTCCGGAAAGCTGTGAAAATAGCAATTGAATGTGTATCTACAGATCCCAGCAAAAGGCCAACCATGAGTATGGTAGTGGTGGGACTAAAGGAGTGTTTGGCAACACAACTGGGTTGAACAAAGCAGAGCAGCGAATTGAGTCTGGAAACTCCATTGAGACAGTGTCTAAGAGTTTGATTGCTGTGCAAAATCATCACTCTGTTGGGCAGAATAATGGGAATTGAGATGCTAGTAGTTACTTTTCTTTTTGACAATATTTTTTTGGAAGTCATTCAATCTTTTTTGTAACAGATGCCAAATTATGTAATATGTATGAGTTGCAAATATTTCATAATCAATTATGCAGCTTCTTTAGAAAAGAAAACTGACTGCTTGTGCAATATTAATATTGAGCTTTAGGTAATCATTAATCTGCGACCTCCATATCACAAAGTCTCTGCCGTTGAACTAGTCCACTCTCTTCTCAACATTGTACGTTCATCGTTCCCACTTGAACATGAAGCTCTGATACTAGTTGTTAGGAAATCGGATCTCCTAGAACGCGAAACAACAAATGCGATTAGGAAACAAAAAAGTAAACTAATCACACAAACGACACAAGAATTTATAAGGTTCATAAATAAGCTACATCCCCGGGTTTCTATGAAATTCTCACTACAAAAGAGAAGAAAGGAAAAACAACTACAAGCGCAAATGTTTTCCTCACACTCACTCGTAATTAAGGTTCGCAAGATCACAAATAAAGCTTCGTAAAATTCTTAGTTATAATACATAGGCACATCGGCAGGAGTTATAGTTAAGAATAGTGGGTACATCATCAAGAATAATCTTATGCCTATTCCTAATCATTTCATGGATAATCTACTGGTAATGGATCTTTCAAGCCATTTGTGGTAACCAAATTAAATCAAAACCCTAGGTCAAATAATTCATTCAATTTGGGGATTATTTGACCTAATTGGGAATTAATTAACTTGATTGGGAGTTACTCAATTTAATTGGGGATTACCCAAT